CTCGAAATATAATTGGCTAGTGCCATAAAAAAGTCACATGGCCGGAAAATTTTTTGTGGGTGAGCTACTAACGTCTTACAAGTCCAGAGTCGTCGTATTTCTAGTATATAGTACTGTACAATGGGTATATTGATCGTAATAGACTAAGTACTTGAAAAAAGCCTGTGATCCTATATAACAAAGGTCATAATAAAAGGCAACGGACCTTATTTTTACTGCAAAGTGGTTTGAGAAACGATGAAAGCTCTTTAGCCAATCACTTGCTCCTTTGGAACAATCATAAAGAATCAATTTCATTTTGACTACAGTATTCACTTTTTATAGCAATTATCTAAGACAAAATAAAATTGAATTTATTCTGTTAAGCTGGTGCCGAATAGTAATGTTTTTATTGGTATTCCTGTTAATCTTGTGCCTCAAGAGAGTTTTGATGCATCAAAAACTTTTATAAAATAAATTGGATAAAAAGTGGTGCACAAGATTATAACCAAAAACGAGTTTTACTGTTGTTACGCGTATTAAAGCGTTCAATTCAAAAAAAAAAATTATTAAAGATTGTAAAATCAGTTAAACTCAAATATATCAATATAAACTAGCCTAGAACTTCATTTTCAAAGAAAGACATAATTTTAAGAATATAATTTAATTTTAATACAGTAATACCCATAAAAAAATACGAATTAACTTAGTAAATCTTGGATAAATTCATTAGTAATTTTTTTTTTTTTGGATTAAAGTATTGTATTGCGTTAATACTCGGCAAATATGATGGAAGAATTCATGTACTGTAATTTGTTAGTTCGCCAAATTAGCCAATAATCAAATCAGATGAAAATCACCGTAAACAAACCATAAAAAATCGGATTTGATATTTACCCTCGTCTCGTGTCGGATTTGATTTTACTCTTGTTAACTTTACACACGTTTTATTTTTCTTCATAACTCGTAACAATGCACGCAACTGAGTCGTTCGTCTTCTCCCCTCCGGGCTTTAGTCCTTAGAAACTTACAGATAAAAAAGATGTTTACAAAAGCTTTTATAATGCTTTAGAAGATGTCATAGAGAATTCGGAAGAGGAAAAAGCTTCTAGTAAAGCTAGTAGTCTTCTAAATCACGAAAGGTTAGTTTATCGTAAAAGTCGGAGATATAAACAACATTTCAAACGAATATTATTTATTTATTTATTTATATTCTTTTTTTTTTTTTACATAGACTGATGTAAGAAAGGTGACCAAGATCTGTGGAGACTTTTTGGACAGGTCTAATGTGCTGGATGAAGTGACGAACACTATTAACAATGGAAAAGGTAAAGAAGTAGTCACTTCTCCAAAGAATAAAGAGAATAAGAAAGGGAATACAGTGCCAGACAGTCTAACTATGCAGAAAGGCGGGAGTTACCACGTAAGATTAATTTAGCTTTAAATGATAGGGTTGGATATTTTGTTTATCATCATTTTTACCATTCATTCTCAATATTTTGTAGGTTCAATAACTCGATCTGAGGCATACAAAAGTGTGGACATCAGTCAAGTTACGGCTGACGACCTCATTCACCCCAATAAGCCATCCCCAAAGCTGTAGAATGTTATTTTGGAAGCCCAAAAACCAAATAAGAATTGGTCTGAGGAAATGATGCAAACATGGTTTAATGGGTTGATGAGGGAATCAAGCGTGAAATAGCGGTTTAGGAATGAGGTAAAAGATTTGTTGGTAGTCTTTTATTATTGCTTTTATGTTTTTTATTTATTATTTCTATACTATTTAGTTATTTATATTTTTTTGGTTTTTTTTTTTTTAGCTGTTTTGGATATTATTGGCTGGGGATTTTTTATTGGTATTGCAAATGGACAATATAATTTTAGATTCTGCTGTCGAAATTACATAGGTACTGCCAATGACTAAAAGAAGGCATTTGAGTGGAGGTATTTAGTAAAGTAGTACTGTACAGTAGTATAGATTCAGATGGACGTACATACGACATTGTATGTATGATTAATATATTATACATCTCTTTCAAATTTCTGTCAATTAATAATTGACATACGTGAGTTTAAATTTTATACTAATTAAAATGTAAAGTACGTACGTACATATATCAAATCTAAAGTATGTTTAATAAAGTATTTTTAATTTAGAAGAATTTTTTTAATTGATTATTTATTATTTTTTTTGCAAAATGACTTCAAATGCTTTATTAGTCTTTTTTTTTTTTTTTTGTTTCAACCCTTTGAAAAAATTGTTAACGAGCTATATGAATGGTCGAATAGCCGAAAAAAATGAAAGTATAATTGATTATTCAAAATATGATCACTGTTTAGCTGTTTTAAAAAAATATATCTAAACACAAAAATCAAGCTTTTTGGGCTTTTAATACCTTTAAATTAGTTAAAATTGGAGTTATCAAAGTGTTAAATATTTAATTGGATAAATGGTTATCCTATTGAAGATTTCATAAACATGGTGCCTCAATAAAACTCAACTAATAAGACCTCTTTGAAATATCACGAAACATCTAATAAGAAATTGGTTAAAATACAAAAATAAAGGAAATCTCTGTAATATTAAATAAAAGCCCTTCTTGTAAAAACAATGCTTTTCGCACTTTCCAATGTAGTTAGTTACCTGTTACTTTATTTTACAATTTTAATGTTATGTACGTCAATTTTTAATTGACGGAAATTTAAAAGTGATGTCTAACAAATGCAGACATGTAAAATTCAATTTTTATAAGTAGCTCTTTTATTGGTTGGAATCAAGGCTAGTAAAAAAAGCTAGTTTTCTTCTTTTGTAGGTATTGTATCTCGACCTTTTTGTATATCCTCTGTCCAAGATCTACTTTAGGAATGGCTATGTTGTGACATTATCTGCAAAAAGGTTCATGGGGAGGATATAGTGTACATGGTGAATGCTGGACGATTCATACCTGGCTCACACGTGAGATTCTAGGGGAAATAGTGTTGGGTACTGGGGAGTATTTATTGGCATGACAATACAAGCTAAGAAATTTGATAAAAAACTAGAATAACTTTTGTGTACCAATAAACACTTTCTTGGGTCTTCCCAACCAATAAGATACACCTCTTTGTGATGGTTGGGACAAGTAAAAGATTTTCTCTAAAATTAAGTGTCTATTTTTATTTTTTTGTATAATATTTAATGATTAAGTAAAAGTATATCTTGTAATAATATGAGTGCTGCCAAGGGAAACCTACAAGTCATGATTTTTAAATATTCACTTTTTAAAATCAGGTAATTGAACATTTAAGATTTTATATCATTTGAATCGTCTTAATGAGACGATTCAAATAATATTAAATCTTAAGTGTTCAATTACCTGATTTTGAGATATTTTTATTAAAATGTGAATATTCAAAAATCATAACTTGTAGGTTTTCCCTTGGCATCACCCATATTAAATAATAAAAATAAATAAAATTTTGCTTAATAAATTTATATGATTTTACACAATGTAATTAGTTGAATCTTTTTATTCGTATATGTTGTGCGTCAAATTAAATACTATATCTATGTCATATGAATGAGTTTATCTAACCATCTCTAAGATATATAGATTTAAGTTTTAAGGAATACTGTACTAACGCGGAAGTGTCTACAGTTTTTTTTATTGCCACACTTACCAGTCTATATATTGTATTGTAGGAAGACATTCATATAATTGGCTAATTTACATCGATCAAGCGTGATCAAATCGCGGTTTCTTCAAAAATCCTGTGCGTCACGCGCGTGATGCGCATCCCCGCGTGGAATATGCCTGATAAACTGATAAAAAACCATGCAGAAATTATTATTGAAAATCAATTTTCTTGTTCTACCATAAATTCTCGAAATAGAAGCTTGGGTGTTATTTCGAATTTCGGCCAAATTAAACTTGACCAAAATTCGAAATAACTATTCCGAGAATTTACGGTAAATATGTTAATACAGGCCAGATATTAGATTAATGCCAGCCCGATGATATGGTAATGCCGGCGAGATAATTTTATCTGGGATCATATTAACGCCACGTATCACACGCGGAATCACCGCGCGTGCCCATCTCTGATCATGATTAAATAAACTCAATACAATGTAAATAATTTATTGGCGAAACTTTACACTTGTATTTATTTTAAATAAAACTCTTTCTATTTCAACATCACCATTTCTTTACAAGAAAATCTGCATGTATAGGTTGTGAATCGAATGCTATCAATCAAAACAAGGACCATAAGCATTTATGTAACAAGACACGAAAAAATTACTCTAAAATTCTCCGAAACAAAGTTACAGGAAAAAGGATCGAGAAGAGAAAGAAGCTTCATGCTCGCCTGAGTGCCAAGTTGAACTATCTTTTAGAAGACTTAGAAACATATTAAATCAAATTAAATTTTCTCCTAACGGTACAAAATCTCATAATATCTTATGGTACTTTTTTTAGTTTGAATTATTATTAAAATTTTAATTTTGCCTCACTACTCTTTACTCTTTTTAAATTTATTATTTATTATACTTTATCTATCAGGTGTGTAGGTTTTTGGTGGTATAGAGAGAACTGCAGAAAGAAGAATATTTGCGAATTCTGACCTTATAATTATGATTGACACAAATTGTGCTTCCCAAGTCATTTCAAACCTGTGAACAATTTATTCTCTTATGTCTAACACTAACAGCAACATTGTTGATATATATTTAGTGAACTGCATTCTTTCACATTCACGGTATGCAATTCTTACCAACTTTGTCAATTTTTACAAAAAACTATTACTTACTGTAACATTTGTTGACAATCCTAGAAAAATATAGATCTGAAGTACAGAAGCTTCCTTTGTAAAAAAAAGAAATTTTTTAGTCCACTTCCGAAGATACAAATTATTTCGTGATGATATGAATAAAAAGAAAAGGTCGTTGATATTCCTAAAGAGATTATAAACTAGTTAATACCGTTCATAACAATGGCTCTTAATGTTTTAAAAAGTTAATATTATTTATTATCTTTTTAACTTGTCACAAAAAAATAAAATTACGTAACAATGTTGTCTCAGTTTATGACTTTATCGTCTCAAATGTTGGAGGAATTAATAAAGCCCAATATTAAATGTTAAAGCATAGGTCAAAAAAAAACATTAACTAAGTATTAATAATCACAAAATTGTAAAATTGATTCCAACTAATGTTTCTGCTAATTTACACAATCGTATTAAAATAAAAAGTGGAGGGCCCACTGGACCCTTTATTTCATAAAAAATTATTACCAGAACAACACACAGATATACTGTCGTATTTCGATTAAAATCACCATTACTCCATTCCACTCGAGGATCATAACATGTGAATGGAGTCCTCACGCCTTGATCAATACTACCGCTGGAAGGCACTTGGTTTTCGCATTCTTCCAACGAAATGGATAAGTGATTGTAATATTCATTACACCTATTCTTTTGATGGTGATAGTATTGTTAACCTCTGGCATCTCTTCTGAAATGATTATTTCTTTTAGCCATGAATAAGTCCATTACGATTGTAACCTTTCTCAATATCATTGATTGATTATCTTTCTTTTTCTACAGAATTCCATTATCAAAACTTCCGACACTACCAAAATCCTAACAAAAATACTGTTAGGATTTTGGTAGTGTCGGGATTTTGATGGGATTTTTGAATGTCAGGATTTTAGCGCTGTCGGGATTTTGTTGATGAATAGCATACAATCTAACCTCATTTGGTATTTCTTTCACTTCAAGATTTCGGTCTACATACAAATACCTTTTTTAGACAATTTTCCTTAATCGTTTTATAATTCATCCTACGTATCATGAAAATGCCACATTTTTATTTATTTATTTTTTTTTTGCCGGGTACACTCGAATACCGGGTTCAAAAATGAAATATTTTTGATTGATCAGAATAATGACATTTCACAGTGTACCATGACTTGCAACTTTCCCGAAATTCATTCATATGATTTGTTTCTTTCCAATTTATGTATAATTTGATTCGTAGATAACCCTAGATTTTGAGAATCCTTTAAATATTGTCAGACCATATCCACAGATTGGTTTGTCTTTATTTACGCTCATGATATTATTATTATTATTATTTAATTTTTCAAAGAACTTAAGCCTTTATTTATTAACAACTAAATATGATGTCAGTATTATTAATATTGAATATGAAAAAAAATGATGTTGTAAATGTTACATGCCGAAACAATATTTTTTATTATAATTATTACTATTATGACAAATAAGTGATGCAATTAATTTAGTCATTTAAAGTGACGTCACCTAGATTTTATATCATATATTCGCTCTGATTGGCTAGAATTTAAAATCCGGGTTTGCATAATGAGGAAGCTTGCTTGAGAATGAACAGCCACTACTTTAATGAATGTCCAACCAATTTTAAACTGAAAAAAAAAAATTATATTCTTGAAAATTAACAAATTTGTAAACAGCTACATAACGTACGTACGTGCGAACTTTTCTATAAAAACACATCCAAAAATGATACATAACCAGTTTTTTTTTTAAACTTTTATATATAATTCACTATATAATTTATATCAATCTAACCTTATTCACACATTTTCCCAATAAACTACCCTGAAATAATAAAATTTAAGTTAAATACGATTAATTTCATTGGTTGTTACCATGGTGATCACCAATAAAAAACGAACTTCCACAAAATACTTGTTAACTATAATAACTTTCTATTTGAACTTGTAATCAGACTAATATAAAAAAATGAGCTGGTAAGATCTATTGACAAGTTTTATCAATAATAAGCTGGGTATTGTCAATTTATTTTGTAGTAAGCTTTAATTTTATATATATATAAAATAATACTAGGGCGGGTTTTAAGAAGAAATTAGATCGTACAGGAACTAAGGTATGTTACAACGATACTTAAAGCTCTTACTACCGAATTATTTCAAACTTATCGAACCGTAAATACTTTTCTGCTCGACAGCTTTTGCAAACTGTTGGTTCAATCGAAAAAACGGTAAGATTCTACATAACAAAATTTCAGTAAAAAAAAAAAACCAAATTCAAGTTAGCTTTATTCGCTCACGTCTTTCTTAGGTTGATAAAGAGTTCGAAGAAGAGGAACGTCGATTTAAAAGGTTTGTGAATGGTTTTTTTTTTGATTGTGATTTCATTTTCGATAATAAAGTGTCAATTTTATGTATATTACAGTCTTGAGTCAAAATGTGAGAAATTACATAAAGAGGCGAAAGGATACTTGGATTCTTTGCGTGGTTGGTTCATTTTTTCATAATATATTTTATCATATTTATCATATTTATCATAATTATTTATTGAAAATTTTTGAATTATAATTTTTATATTTATATAAATAGCTATAACTAGCGCGCAAACACGTATATCAGAGACTATTGAACATTTTTATGAAGATTCAACCGATGATTCATTGGCTGGAAAGAAATATAAGACTACTATAGAAGGTATTGAACGAGATTGTCGTGAACTGGTTAGTGATCACTTTCTCTAATTTATAATGGTTATTTTTTATCTTACTATTTCCTGTTTTTATAGGATGACCCATATCGCCAAACTGTAACTGATCCTGTAGGCCGATTTTGCGCTTACTTTCCTGATATAAATGACGCTATCAAAAAACGTGATAAAAAACTTTTAGATTATGATTCACAGCGTGCTAAAGTACGCAAGCTAGTTGATAAGCCATCAGATGATGCCAATAGATTACCAAGGGTAATTATATTTAAATTTTTTTTTTTTGTTCTTTTGTGATAATCATATTTAAATGATTTCTTTCAATTTTATTACAGGCTGAACAAGCTGCTAATGAAGCTCGTGAGATTTACGAATCATTGAATACTCAACTAGTTAATGAATTACCTAGATTAATAGATCTTCGTGTTCCTTATTTTAACCCTACATTTGAAGCTTTGGTAAAAATACAACTCAAATTTTGTCAAGAAAGTTATGAAAGTTTAAATAGTTTGCAAGAATATTTTCCTGATAATGATCAAGTTGATAATAAGGTTGAAGCTGTTTTACAAAAAATGAGGGATTTGGCTATCTGTGGAATGGGTTAATCTTTTTAAATAGGTAAATTATTAATGTTCGTAAAAGCAAGCTTTTTTCTTAAGGAATTATTATGCATTGTATTATTATTTAAAAAATTAGTTATTGAAATTTTATTATCTACTGTGTTTCTTTGACTTTAAGGTCTAAGGTGTTAATACTTGTATCTAAAATATTTTATGTACTTGAAAAATTAATATATTTTTAATTTCTTGAAAAACTATATTTATTAATATTTACATTTGATTACGGTTTATAATGTCTACCTAATAACTTTTTCAATTATTGAAATTTGTACCTTTATTTCAAGGGATTTTCATATTATTATTATATTAATTTAGATCGTCAATACCAAATGAGATCCTAAATTCATATTAAGTCTAACTCAAGGCAGCAATAACTTACTCTGTAATCATGTAAAAACATATACTTTAATTTAAAGCATCGATTAAAGTGTATGGATGCTCTCAAGCACCTCATTCAATGGATTGGACTCAATGGGTCGAAGACAAATTTTAATTAGTTGTAAATTGAAAACTAATTAAGTGATACCATTTCGATGAATAAAACCTGGCTCTAACAAAAATATCGGAAAACTTGTCATCGGGCTTTCAATATATTTTGTACCAGATATAAATTAAATAGATTGTGTTCGGTACAAAACATAATTGAAAGTTCTCCCTTGACGACACTCAATATAACAAATTCTAATTATAATATATATCCAAATCCAAATGATAAGTACCTGGTGTCATCGGCATAAGCAGAAATAAATTTTCGCTTAAACACATAGAACCCAGTGTATAACTGGTCTATACCCTGCGATCTTGATATAGGACGAGGGTATAATTAGATAAATAATTTTGACTCGGCTTTTTGCAGTTGTTGTATGTATAATGAGTGGTTTTATAAGCTAAATTTTGTCTGGTTCAATCCAAAACCTAATTAAGATGTTAATGGAACATATTGGTTGAATATTATTATCTTAATGAAACTGAAATAGCATTATATATTATCAATAATTAGTAAAAAATGGGAAAGGCTAGTGGGATATAAAATATTGGATATACTGTAGTTATGATGAAAGAATTGAAATTGAATTATGAACATAAGGTATTTGTTTATTGCTGTAATAAGTATTAACAAAAGATTAGGTATTCTATTGAGATATACAAAGCTGAATATTACTATATTAATTGAATTGGAGTTGAAAAGGATGAAAATAAGGCATTCATATATTATCAAAAGTCGGGAATGCTAATGAAACATACAATTTCGAATGTTGTTTTATGAACAGGTTTGGAATTAAAAAGAATAAATGTAAGGCATTCACAAGTCATCAAAGATAAGAAATACCTAGACTTGGTGATTGTCATTTTAATGGATAAAAAAGATAAATATAGAGCACTCATTTATTGTCCGGAGCGGAGTGGCCCCTGCACTAATGTATGGAAGTTTTACTATCCAGACTTGTGGTGCCCTTGTGAGATAACAGGATACTTTACAAGAAAAACACTTCTTTTCGATTTACAAAGCGAAAAGTGAATTAATAAAACAACGATACAATATATTAATTGGCATCAGGCTAGGGAACAGGGCACGAGCATGCCCTATAGGGCAGTGTTGTCAATTGGACACATTTTAACAGTTTTAATAGTTTTGGACAGGATTTTGGACATATAAAAAGTTGTCCAAAACTGTCCAATTGACAACACTGCTATAGGGCATACCTTTTACTAAAACTCATAAAAAAATTTTGAAAAGCATGCCTCTAAATTTAAGAAATTGAAGGCATGCCCTTAAGCTAAAGCTGTGGCCTGAACCCTATATCGGGCATAGAATCATATATCATTATTCACATTGAAAACTTTGTTATTTAAATAAATAAACTTTTACATTAATAAAAAACTGACTATTAAATTATCTCGATAACAAAAATTGATAAGAATAAAATTACTGAGCCTAAGAAAAAGAGATCACAAAAGTTAATTGTTATTAAATCGAACAAACAAAATCAAGATCATAAGATTAAGAATCCAACTAACTTAAGAGTCAACTATAGCGCCAAAACCTTAAAACCTTGGAAATAAAGAAACGAAAAGAATCCAATTCAAAACTAGCATCACAAAGTGCAAGACGTTCGAACACATTTCTATACGGGATAGTAGGCTCTAGCATCAAACTATACCCTTAAGATGTCGGAAATAGACAGTATGAAACTTAAGAAGGATGCCGTACAGCGTTTCGGCCTAAACCTGATTTTGCAGATTATTTGCAGATCAAATTGGGCGAAACTAGTTTCGGAGGGTTTCGGACTTATAGGGCGAAACTAAAATTCCTCTGGGCGAAACGTTTCGGACTTTGGGGGAGGTTTAGGCCGAAACACTGATGCCGTACCCACACTTGTATCTTATTTAGGTGTAAAAGACCAAGAATATTCTTTCTTAGATTGTATTATTTCTTTTTTGGAATCGTGTATTTCAGTGTTTTTATTTTAACCGCCTCATGAAAGTTAACTGCGTAGCTGCTGCTTCACGACTCTTGTGCTAAATTCTTCTTAAAATTTTGAAGATTGTATTCATAGGTCTAAATGAAGCCTATATATTATTATTATATTTTACAATACTCAATCATTATTATATTATATGTATTTCTTCAAGACTTGGAACAGACCAAGCGTGTCTTGGTCTTTGTTTACTACCGGAGCCTCACCGAAAGCATTTATGGGCAGGTTCTTCATGGCATTGGAAAGAACTAAGACAGGTTTGTTGTGAGGGAAAACTAGAGCAGGTTCTTCATGAGAAAGTTGGAAATTCAGATTAAAACATGGTAGCATCTTCTCAATACGACCATTAGATAAGCATCACCGGGAACCCTAAAAATATGGATTGATTCAATTTTAATTTATTTTCAAACTCGAAACTGATATCAATCTATACTACTAAGATTTGGTTGTGTGTCTGTCCTCAGCATTTGATTGGCTGTTGATAATAATGTGACGATATACTACATATATACTATAGTATATAGTATAAAGAAAGTTATGTGATGTTTGACTTTTTTGGCTATAAGCTTTATGCTATATTTAACCTTTTTGACTAATATTTAGAAAATAATATTTAGAAAATATATTTAGAAAATAAAATTTTAGAAAATAAACTTTAATTTGAAGAGCCTAAAGAATAAACTCTATTTTGAAAAGCCTAAAGAACTCTAACTTAAGAAATTGTTTATTCGAATTAGCTCATTATATGGTTAACATGTTTGAACTGTATTTGCAAATTCTAATTTATTTTTATAGCCGTACAGTTTTTGTTATGTCTGTCTTCTGCGTTAATAGGCTTTACGTGATTTTTAATCTTTTTACTATTAATTTAGAAAATAAACTTATTATTCGTATTCGAAATGGATCATTATATGGTTGACATGTTTAAGCTGTATTTTCAAATCTAAATAAATAATAATGGAAAATTATTAGCAATGTTTTTTTTTGTGTTACGGCTTTTTGGCTCTATATGAAAGTTTTTTCACTATGGAAGAACAAAGATTACAACGATTATATAATAACAGAGTATCTCATCGCAAACATAGATTGTAGAAGATGAAGAACATCGTGAACATCGACTAAAATGTGATAGGTTGACACATCAAAAACGTCGTGCTATAGAAAATGATAAACAAAGAGAACAGAGGCTAGAACGTAATAGATTGGCTCAACGTAAACGACGGCAACAACAGCAACTAGCTCTGCATCTTTTAGGAAGAAAACCTTTAAATGAAACTTCTATCACACCATTTCGGCTCACACCTCTTACTATTTGTGTTCACTGTAATGCTAAAAAGTTCACAGTGGAATCTGATGGGTTTTGTTGCTCCAATGGTAGTATAGCTTTGGCAAATGTAGAAGTGCTCACTAATTTACAGGAATTATTTTTAAGGACGAATGATATTGGGCGTGACTTTTGGGAAAAAATTAGAGCTTATAATTCACTTTTTTCTTTTACTTCCATGGGTACTCGGTTTGATAAAACTCTTGCTAATAGTGAATATTCTTTATCCTATTAAAATTTTATAAGACTATCGATATTAAGTTATATATTTTTTTTAGATACAGATGGTGTTTACACATTTCGTGTACAAGGAAGCGTATATCACAGAATTGGTTTATTTCTTCCATCAGATAATAACTCTCTGCAATATTTACAACTTTATATATATGATACAGATCATGAAATTAATAATCGACTAAACGTAATGCCTAATCTTAAACATGAAACTATTAAATTAATAAAAAATATGCTTGACGAGGTCAATCCTTTTGTTGCAAATTTTCGTTACCTCTCTTCACTTGAGAATATAACTAATTATCAGTTAGTAATTAAGGCCGATCATGGATTAGATCAGCGAACATATAATACACCTACATCTTCTCAAGTTGCAGCTATTTGGGTTGATGGTAATGACCCTAGTGGATTTCAGAAGCGAGACATAATTGTTCATTCTTATTCTGGAGATCTTCAAAGAATTTCTGAAATTAGTGGCCTGTACGATCCTATGCAATACCTACTTTTGTTCCCTAAGGGACAGCATGGTTGGCATCCTAACATTTATGCTACTTTAAATAGTAAGAATAAATGACATATTAAAGAGAGTGAAGTTAGAAATTTTAGGAATATCTCAAAAAAAGTGACAATAAAACAATATTATGCTTTTCAATTGCAAATACGAGAGCAGCTATCTTTAATTCTTCTAGGTGGACGGCTTTTTCAACAGTATGTGGTGGACAACTATATAAAAATTGAATCAGAATGACTCAATTACTTATGCTTTAATCAAGCAAAAATTAGAAGTGAATTTTATTCTGGCCTTGAAGATTTAAATAATGCAGGGCATACTGATGCTTCAGAAGTTGGAAAACGAATTATTCTTCCATCTTCATTTACTGGAGGACCTAGAGATATGTGTTAACATTATCAAGATGCTATGGAATTAGTGACAAAATTTGGCCGACCAGACCTATTTATCACTATAACCTGCAATCCTAAATGGCCCGAAATTCTTGAAAACCTTTTGCCAAACCAGATAGCTACAGATCGACCTGATCTCACAGGTAGATTATTTATTAGTATGATTTAACTTTTTTCTAATTTATATTTAGTAAATTTGTGTTTTTAGTTTTATTTTATTATTTATTATTTTTTAATACTATTTATATTTATTTAAATGTATTATACTTATATTTATTATTCTAACTTTTTAATTACTGTGTTATCTTTTATTTATATTTTTTTTTAGCACATGTGTTTCATGCTAAATTGGATGAGCTAAAAAAAGATCTCTTTCAAAGAGGCATTCTTGGAAAGGCAGTTGCAAATGCCCATGTTATTGAATTTCAGAAACGGGGTCTCTCTCATGCCCATATTTTGGTTATTTTATATTCAGCAGATAAACCAAAAAGCCCTAATGACTATGATAGTATTGTTAGAGCTGAATTACCTAATGCTACCTCTGAGCCAATATTATATAACAAAGTAATTTCTTATATGATGCATGGTCCATGTGGTGCTTCAAATCCACATTTTTTATGTATGAAAAATAATAAATGTAAAAAAAATTATCCAAAGGAATTTAATAGTGCTACGTATGAAGGTTCTAATTTATATCCACAGTATCGTCATCGGGAAAATGGTCAAAAAGCAATGGTAAGAGATGTTCTATTAGACAATCGTTGGGTTGTTCTCTATAACCCATATCTTTTATTGCATTATGATTGCCATATCAATGTTGAAATTTGCTCGAGTATAAAGGCTGTGAAGTATCTTTATAAGTACATTTACAAAGGCCATAATAAGGCAGTAGTAGAAGTTGGCTCAAACAAACCAACACAAGTAAGGCAAAATACGGATGAAATTAACCAATATTTAGAAGCACGTTGGATCTCTCTATCAGAGGCTTACTGGAGAATTTTTGGATTTTATATCTCTGATATTAATCCATCGATAATTCGTTTACAACTTCATCTGCTTAACTGTCAAATAATCAACTATTTTGAAGAAGTTAATTTGAATGATATTATTATTATTATTATTTTTTTAATATTAAGGTGACCACTTAGGCCCTTGGCACTTTATTAGTACAAGCGGTAGGCCAATGTTAATTTT